GCTATTTTTTGGTTGCAGCCGTCATTGTTGTTTGGTGGGCCCGGGCTGGATTCGAACCCGCCACCTTAGGTGTATGTGGCTGGCACCTGAGCCACTTGAGCCACAGGCACCGAGCCGAATTGTACACTTTAGATGAGTGAGTTATATAGTGTGAGAAACTGACTACCTAAAGATATTGCTTATTTGCATTTTCCAAATTTTCTACATTTGCTATCTCAACTACAGGGTGTCCAAAAGTCACCATACATAGGAAAATGGGATATTGTAGCTAAATGTATTATTACTACAAATTATCTCAACATGTTGGCTGCCTCTTTATAAAATTTTGTAATGAGTATGTTGTAAATAAAGATACATTTAGCTGTAATTTCTCATTTTCCCTGTGGATAATGACTTTTGGAACACCCTGTATTTTTTACAATTTTTGAAATCTCATGAAATAAGCAGAGCAGAGGGAGGGGGGAGGACGTATGGCAGGAGGGAGGGCATGAGGCGGGATCTCACCTATGAGCACATTGTGAGGATGCAAATGAAACTTTACCCCAGAACTTTACATCATCTACCATGTAACCTAAAAATTGTACCTGCATATATATACACACACACATACACATATTTTTATTTTTTTGGCCAGGGCTGGATTTGAACCTGCCACTTACAGCATATGGGGACGGCACCCTACTCCTTTGAGCCACAGGCGCCGCCCCTGTACCTGCATATTAATGTGAACAAAAAACTTAAAAAAGCAGAGCAATTATGCTTATTTTGTAGGCCAGGACATCAATAATTTAAAAGGGCAGGAGTAGATACAGCCCCTGAGTACTCCATTCCCAGTTTTTCCATCTCTATACCACATATTCTAGAACAATTCCTGAGACAAACTGGTCATGGCTTCAAATAACCCTGATGACCCACTTAATATGGGAAATAAAAAGGAAGGTGTTGGCTCGGCATCTGTAGCTTAAGCAACTAGGGCGCCAGCCAGACACCAGAGTTGGCAGGTTTGAACCCAGCCCGGGCTTGCCAAACAATGACAACTACAACCAAAACATAACCAGGTGTTGTGGCAGACGCCTATGGTCCCAGTTACTTGGGAGGCTGAGGCAAGAGAATAGCTTGAGCCCAGGAGTTGGAGGTTGCTGTGAGCTGTGATGCCATAGCACTCTACCCAGGGTGACATTTGAGGCTGTCTCCAAAAAAAAAAAAAAAGGTGTCATACCAGATACATTTTCTTTTTTTTGCAGTTTTGGCTGGGGCCAGGCTTGAACCCACTACCCCTGGTATACGGGGCCAGCGCCCTACTCCTTGAGCCACAGGTGCCACCATATTTTTTTTTTTTTTTGAGACGGAGCGTCAAGCTATCCCCTTGGGTAGAGTGCCGTGGCATCACGCTCACAGCAACCTCCAACTCCTGGGCTCAAGCGAGTCTCCTGCCTCAGCCTCCCAAGTAGCTGGGACTACAGACGCCCGCCACAACACCTGGCCATTTTTTGGTTGCAGCCATCATTGTTGTTTGGCGGGCCCAGGCTGTGGATTTGAACCTGCCACCTTAGGTGTGTGTGGCTGGCGCCCTAGCCACTTGAGCCACAGGCGCCGAGCCCATATTTTTTTCTTGAGACAGAGTATTGCTCTGTCACATTGGGTAGAGTGCCATGGCATCAGTCACAGCAACTTCAAACTCCTGGGCTCAAGCAATCCTCCTGCCTCAGCCTCCCAAGTAGCTGGGACTATAAGCATCAGCCACAGCAGGTAGTTTTTCTATATTTAGTAGAGACCTGGTCTAGCTCTTGCGCAGGCTTGTCTTAAAATCCTGAGTTTACGTAATCTACCTGCCTTGGCCTCCCAGAGTGCTAGGATCACAGAGGTAAGCCATGGAGACCAGTCTCTGCAATCTAAGTGTAGTTTTGAAGCTCTACTCCATCTTTATCTGGTTGGTACTTTTCCTTGTTCCAGCCACGTGATTTAGTGCTCACAGATGACAGGAAGGAGTCAGCTCAGGGTTAGCTTTTCAGGCTACACACTATTCCTAGTGAGTGGTGCCCTGTAGCCTGTCATCCTTTTCTAGGTTTATTGTTTGGGGCCATGGGTCTCCCCCTTAGTTTTAGACAGGAGCTCTTTCCTTATTTAGGACTTTATCATAGAGAAACTGAATTGCACAGAAGGCACAAACAGAATTAAACAGCTGGTTTTGAAATGCTTTATTAACGAACATAGTGTGCAGACTGCAATTAGTTTTCTTCCTATCTCTTCACAGTGGTCACCACAAACAGCACAGGACATCCTAACAGCGTTTGTTGCTACCTGACAGCCTCCCAATTGTGGAGGGGAGATGAAGGCAAATATTGAAGGAAATTCCAGGGCAACTGCAGTCACACATTACTCAGGAAGCTACAGGTAGGAAGCAGCATATGGAATCTCAAACCGGGAACGGTAGTATGTTCCCTGGCACTATAATGCCGTGTAGCTGGGATACTGAGGCCTGCAATCGGTGTCACATTTTCTTTACTTGCAAGCGAAATACACATTTAAGAAACTGGTACTCTACACTGATCCCCAAAACTTAGCATCAGGTGGTTGCTTTGCAACCTATCTTGTCACTTAAAATCTTATAACTCACTTTAATGATTCAACAATGATAATATTTATATTTGCAGTTATAGTTTATAAGAAAAGTAGTTAACTTGAATTTTTGAATTAGGAATAAAGAAAGCTGCTAACTGGCTTTGCTTTTAAAAAGAATAAAACACAATAGTATAGGTTTAAAAAATGATGGGTTTAGAACAAGCATAGATGTAAGGAAGCTATTTTAGTTCTTTAAAATGCATTTCACCGCCACGATAATGTGTCTGGCACTGATTCCAAACACATCCAGCAGCTCAATCGGCTTCCCGCTCCGAGGCATTCCCGACACTGCCAGCCGATGAACCAGGATGTCAGGCTCCATGGAGACGGCTGCACAGACAGCTTCTCCAATGCCACCTGGGGAAGCAAAGAGATACTGGGATCTTACTTGGAAGTGGCCAGTCAGCCTTAAAGCCCCATGGCATAGAGACTTTGTTTTTGGTGACACAGTCTCACTCTGTCGCCCTGGGTAGAGTGCCATGACATCATAGCTCACAGCAACCTCAAACTCCTGGGCTCAAGTGATCCTCTTGTTTCAGCCTCCAAAGTAGCTGGGACTACAGGTGCCTGCCACAACACCTGGCTGGGTTGTGGCAATATCCTGGCTCAGGCAATCCACCTGCCTAAGCCTCCCAGAGTGCTGAGGTTACAGGTAGGAGCCACTGCGCCCAGCCAACATAGAGGTTTCTGAATTTGCTGGTTCCCAGAGTAATGTGTCTCACAACTCATCAATTCATGTGAACAGCCGTTCTTGGACTGGCCTGAAGAGCTCCTATTCTGAAGCGCGAGTCTCCAGCTGCTCCCGCCCCTACCCACACCAGGTGCTGCTCTCAACCTGGGCTCCAGGGATATGGAGCTCAGATTCTCAAAGCTGTCAGGGACCTGAAAATGAGTAAAACCAACAAATGAACTGTGCAGAAGAGTGACCAGCAGGCCTGAGGCTGCTGCCTCACAAGGTTGACCTTTGGCTGGTGCAAGTTCCCGCCACTGCTGTGATACTTTCCCTACTGAGAAGGATGTACCCAGAACCTAGACTATCTGTATAAACAATGTGGTTTATGCCAAGTACCTGCTTTCCTGCTGGGAGCTAGGAATTTTGGTACATGGCTTGGAGTAGGTGTCAACATGATCAGACCCCAGTGAAAACCCAGGGAGCCCAGTCTCTAGTGGGCATCCCTCAGCAGACACATAGTCCATCTAGGCTGCATGTTCTACTGTCCCGATGCAGGTGGGGAGAGAGGAAGGAACCTAAGGTAGTACTTCTCCAAACTCCACTTGTGGCTTGAGACTTGGCAGGTCCTGTCACATGCTGTTTTCCTGTGATCAACCTGAGCTACAGGGTGACTGCGCCAGGTCTGCAAATCCTTCCAGAGACCCATGCACCATGATCATGGCCCATGACACAGGAACACATAAGTTCCTCATGGCATCACAATGTCCACCCTACTTAACCTTCCCAGGCCCAAACATCACTCAGCTCCCTGACATGCTCTGAGTTTGCTATATTCTCTGCTTGTAAGGCACCATCTCCACATTTTTGGTAGGGGAAAACTATTAATTGCTTACAACCGAAACAGTGAAACCTTCCATTTAGCCACTCCTCTGTGTTGCCACTGACCCCTTTGGTGACTGGGTACTGTGCACTCTGCCACAGATACAACAAGGCATATAAGCATAGCTCCACACTTTGGAGACCAATCCAGGTAGGTAAAGGGAGACCCCTACATTGCTACAGTTGCAGAGAGCTGGCTGAAAGACAAGGCTAGAGGTGATGCCCAAGACAGCAGGGGACATCTCCAACTAGGGGCAGCACAGCACCATTCCTGACGCCCATGCACACCTTCTGGGTAATGATCCTCTACTGTGACAACTCGGCCGCCTGTGGCTTTTGCACTGGAAACGATGGTGGCAGAATCCAGGGGTTTGATGGTAAACAGGTCGATGACACGGATAGGAATATCTGGAGAAGAGCAATAACCAGCTTGGAATATGAAGCCGACTTAAGAATAAAGAACATGCAGGGATAAAGACTAAAGGATCAATTGGGACATAGAAGGTAGCTGAATCCAACCCCTCCCCAGCTTGAACTTTAATGTTCAGACGTAACCAACTCACCTTCTTTAGAAAGATCATCAGCAGCTGCTAAGGCTTCATGCAGAGTAACTCCAGCTGAAATAACTGTGACTTTGTCATTGACACTGTGGCGGATGACCTGGTATAGCACCAGAAAAAAAAAAAAAAAAGAAAGAAATGCTGTGGTTATTACTGTGTTTAGAGTGCGTCTTGGAGCAGGCAGTCAGTGCTTGGCTGTGCTAGTTTCCAATCCTGACAATTTTACTCCTTAATATAAGCCAGTATTGAAAAAAATCATGCTGGGCCCGGTGGCTACTGCCTGTAATCCCAGCACTCTGGGAGACCAGGGCAGGTGGATCGCCTGAGGTTAGGAGTTCGAGACCAGCATGAGCAAGAGTGAGACCTTGTCTCTACTAAAAATAGAAAAACTAGCCGGGTGCTGTGGGTGCCTGTAAGTCCCAGCTACTCAGGAGGCTAAGGCAGGAAGACTGCTTGAGCCCAGGATTTTGTGGTTGCTGTGAGCTATATGATGCCATGGCACTCTAACCTGGGCAACAGAGCAAGATCTTGTCTCTGAAAAAAAAAAAAATCAGATGCATTTAAAAGGCAGGACACACTTTTTGATAAGGCCCATTTTACATTTGCTTTACAAATTCACCTACCTTTTCTCTTGCTTTACAGCGAGTGTGACGTTATTAAATTCCTATATAATACAAACACAAAATGACCCTTTAACAAAGAAGGTAGATTTTAAAGTAGGATGTAAAAGGCAGAGGGCCAGAAGCAGTTGTGCTGCCCATCTGCCCTGAAGTACAGATTTGTACTCTTGTCTCACACCCACCAAGGGGTCTGGAAATGTGTTACCTGCAAACTGGTTTGAGAGCTTACTGCAGCACCCACATGGTTTGGATTCCAATGACTAACATGTTAAGGGAGAACATGCAGGGCAGTTGTAGCATGGACTGTGCTAAGTTTCTTGCATGCCTGAGCTCTGAGAACTCACAGCCTCCCTGTGAAATCCGTCAGTAGTGGGACCATTCTGTAGCTAAGAAAAGTGAATCTCAGCAAGAGGAACTGGCCCAAGTCAGGGCTGAGAGTTGCAGTCGAGGCAGTGGGCTGATGTCAAAGGTTGTGCTTTCAACAACTTAACTACTCTGCACACAAAGACAGTTCCCAAGCTTATTTCATACAGTTTTGCTGCCTCTAAAGCCACCTACTTGAAATCACTGGAATTATTCTTCACTCCTCTCTGTATAGGTTTCTCTGTACCTTAAGAACCATTGCTGGCTCGGCGCCTGTGGCTCAAGTGGCTAAGGCACCAGCCACATACACGTAAGGTGGTGGGCTCGAATCCAGCCCGGGCAAGCCAAATAACAATGACGGCTGCAACCAAAAAACAGCCGGGCATTGTGGTGGGCGCCTGTAGTCCCAGCTACTTGGGAGGCAGAGGCAGGAGACTCGCTTGAGCCCAGGAGTTGGAGG